GATTGGTGCTTACTCACATAAAATAATAAGTAAACATTCGCATAATAAAAAATAGAAGTAGACGATAGCAAAAAAACCGAGCAAGAGCTTCATACTTTCCTTAATTTTCTCCAACAATATTGTATTTTTCTTAATTTTCTTCATTTTTCATTTTTTTTTCTTTTTTCTTTTTTTACTTTGTAACAAATTTGGTTTTCTAAAACTTCAAATTAACTGTTATGAGTTTTGTAAATTCTAGAACTTAATTTGATAGTTTTATAATATTAAAATCCCGAATTATGAAAAAAATCTTTTAGACTCCGATTTGATAAGTTACCTATTTTCCAGGCCTTGTATTCAAAAAACTCCTTTAAAACATCTGTAGACATCAAGAGTACGGAATACTACGTTGCAAGCAATTACACTACTATGAGAGCCTGAAAGTAGACATCTTACAACAATTAAAGCAGCACACCAGCATCATATTTTGTAGCTGCAACTGCAACGAAATCATGGCTTAAATCATGAGAATAAACTGATACACACGTGCAGTTTACACGCCACAGGGACAAATGCAAGATTAAAAAAACTCAAAATAATGTAATCTATACTTATATAAAAAGTAATTCTATTTATTAGAAATAGTAGGCAGAAAAGTTAAAGGTGATTAATATCATTCTATTTCCAGCAAGTATTTTATTTAATTATTTTGTTTATTTGTTTTATCCCATAACATAAGTTTAGTCATAAAAATCCCATAAAATCAAATCAGATATGATAAAAAATATTGTTTCCTCAAATGATTTTATTAATGTCTACAATAATCTCATTGATATCCATTATAATAAATTTTAAGATTGATTTTTCGTGTTGATAATATTTTGGTCAAGAAAAATATTACAATATATTTTAAGTTTTAACCATAATATTAATTTTGTTCCACAAATATTCACTTTTTATCCAAAAATATTTATAGAAAATCGTAACATGTTAGGTAAATTTTATTTCTTCCAATTAATCAGGCGAAATCAAGTTGGTGAATTAATCTTTGTCAATATAATTTTTTCTTAAGCTTTATTTTGTGATATATAAAAAATAAATTATTCTTCAAACTAATATAATTTTTTCTTATTTACAATTTTTAAATTCATTACATAAATAAATATTACTAACATGCATTAAATATTTTGCATTATATAAAATAAAAATAAAAAGAAAACGTGGAACTTCTATAACTTTTCTAAATAATAATGATACTATATGACAACAAAGTTTATAATAAAACAATAATTAATATTATATGGTGAACAAGAATAAATAAAACTGTTATTTTTAATTATATCAAGGAATAAATATATATACTAAAATCACATTTATGTTAGTATAAATGTGTTGTGAGATAATATATTAATTATTTTACAAACTAGCCCTAACATGCTCATATTTAATGTTCTGGCTAAAAATACTACGCTAATTAAAAGAAGTGAAAAATAGATTATAACTCTATCATTTTTTAAACTCAACGCTCATTAAAATAAGTGAAAAATAGATAATAACTTTATTGCTTTTTAAACTTAAATTGACAGAGACCGTGAAAACTCATTTAATATTTCTGTTTCGTGCATCGCACGGGGTATGTACTAGTCTGTTCTAAACATATATTTATGAAGCTAGAAATGAAAAAACTAACACATTAATATCGAAAGACTTTAAAAATAAAAAAAGCGCTGCTTGTGGACATGATACGACAACCCAGTTCCAATCACAAAGGGACAATATATTAAAAGCATGTGTAATTAGGAAGCACAAGCCCCATCAGAGAGAGGGAATTCCCTCACTCTTCTAAGAAGGGGCTGGGGGAGAGAAGAGCCCACAAATGAACAAAACAAATAAGGAAGAAAACAAAAGAGGTATTCAGTAACCAATAGAATAGATACGAAGTGACGAGAGATGCCGAATAAAAAGAGTGCCGGTTGGAAGTTCGCAAAGAGCACCGCCATACCATCTAATTAGCGACCGATGCATTCCCTACCCTTAGTGGTCTTCACTGAAATAAATAAACCTAGCTCAAGTGCGACGATATGCTTCACATGTCAAGTCAAATCGGTGCCGAAAGAAAGAAAAGACAATTCCCGAGGAATGAAAACCGAGCAACGCCGGTTCTCTAGGACAAACTCCAAAGACTTTTCGAGTCTCCCACTAAGTTGAACTTGAGGGGCTGGTATTTGTAAAAACGGTCGGACCTTATCGTGTGGGTGTTGTTTCTTTTTCAGATCATCTTGAGCTTTTGTCAAATTCTCTCCTCTGTTTCTGTCAAGCATATCCTGCTTATCCTTATCCTCTCTGTATCTGGCAATATCACACTTGAACACTTGTATATCCATGCGCGGGGTAGTTTGGACCGTTTGTTTAGAGCTGTCTGAACACGGCAAAATACGACTTCCCGGCCACCCAATCTGCAGCAGCACTATCCAAATGCTAAACAAAAATCTTGAAAATTTTCAATGAAATGTGACGGAATATTGAAAGTAACCTAAGATCGGTGCGAAAAGATTAAGGAGAAAAGAAAAAAAAAACAGACATTTTGAGAGTTTTTGTTAATAAGAATAGGACGAAAAGGTTATGGGAAAAACATATAAAGGAAAAAAAAAAATATGGAATCAAAAGATACGGAATCAAAACGACATTGTCTGCATTAATCCGAAAAGGGCAATGATACGGCGCCGTTTTGAACAAAAGAGACGTGACCTCACCTAATTTAAGAGACACGTGTCAGATAGGAAGGAAGTCACTTCCTTTTTATAGGATATAAGACTGTGATAGCTTGCGATCTAGCTTTGTAAAATTTGTTCTAAACCTTTTTTGAAAGAAAAATATGAAATCCAAAAAAAACTCACGGAAACTTATAGTAGATCTAATTTCCACCTCTCCAATCATCATCAATCATCACTTTCGTTAAGAAACACGCCACATCAAATATTCAAGCTCTTACTTTTCCAATCACCAAACAAGTTCAACCAATATTTAACTCAAAACCAGTCAACACTAACCATCATTACTACATTTTCATTTCATAGTCATCGACATAATAAAAATTCACTTGTACATTTGCCAAACAACTTCTCGACACTATTCTCTGTGAAAATGGAACAGAAGGCCATCTTTTTTCATTAAATTATCAATCACCCAACAAAATTAAATTCTACGTTTTCACAAGGTATCATTTCACAGAGACTTTTATCATTTCACAAGGAATCGAAAGGGATAATGAAACTATATGAGCACTGATTCTTAAGGAAAAAAAATTACTATAATACTAACATTATTAAATATAGTGTAATCACATTCATATATTGGTAGTCAGGAAAAAGTTTGGTAATCTTTTTTCGAAAGAACAATACTAAAGATTAATTTGCCAAGTATGATAAAAAATACCGAAGTAACTTCAGGCTAACGGCAGCTCCGAACCAAACATCACCAGCCACATTTAAGCTGTCTAGCTCAATGATCCATACTCGGATTCGTACTCCCCACTGGCTTCTGGCCGCTCTCATATCCGTGTTCAAATTCAGGCCTCTCCCAGCCCCTCGTATAACGGCTCAATTTTATATCTGAAAATGAGAAGAAATGCATCAAGAATAACTTAATTTGACAAAACAGCAAGAAAAATATTCGAATAGAGGAACCATAATGAATAAGAAAATGACAAATGAAAATTGATGTAATATCAGGCATAGTAGTCATAACTAAAACAACCAATGTAGTTAGAGAATTAAAAATGTACCTGAGGAAGTTAGCAATTACAGGGAGGATATGGGAAACACAATCTTGAGGCTCTAACAACTTTCCAAGAGCAGAACAGCCGTCAACAGCTAGCAACTGCACGGAATCCTGATCTGAAAAGAAGCATTTAGAAGATTATTCTAGTTCTTTAAGGGCACCAATGCACTATATATCATTTTAGTTTCACTCATCCATTTATTACAATCCAGCTGCAAATTTTCTTCATTAGACTGTTTCAGTAGTTGCCTAACTAAAAAATATTTAGTGGCTGCAGATAATTATTTACTGATTACTTCCGATCTTTGAAATTATCTATTCCTAATGTTTCACTCGTTTTATGAATCATAAATAACACATGGCTCTCTTACGTATCTAATTGCTTTGCCAATTGGTTTTCAGTGGTTTATATTGATCAGGCCTCGCCACGGTCAGCCAGCCGACCAGCCACCGAGACAGAGTATAATGCCATCTTGGGCCGAACTGCTCTTTACAACCTCAAAGCAACCGCCTAAAATTACCACTATGCCTTGAAGTTCCCAATATCCTAAAGGGAAGGTATCCACTACGACAATCAACATGCTGCTCAAGAAAGCATTTTGCCAATCCCTTTCCGAGAAATCTAGCTATATGCTTCAGGGAGAGGAAGGCTCTCCCTCAAACATTGCAAAGCAGGATAAACTGGATCGAACAGAAGATTTGGGACGTTGGCCAAAAAAAGAGCCGATTGAAACAGACAGTTGACGATCTCGATACCCGTCTCCCGTTTAAAGGAATGGACACCGACATACCTAATACCTAATTTTATATGTGGCCTCATAAATATGTCGATCTTTAGGTCGACAAACTCCTTAATTACAACCTGATTTTATTTGGTGGTCTCAGAATGTAAGGATCTTAAAAATTTGACAGCCCCTTAACTGCAACCTAATTATTTGTGTGGCCTCAGAGATATATGGATCTTTAGGACGACAAACTCCTTAATTACAACTGTCAGTATACACATTAAAATATGAGATGCTATTAATTTTAGCAGCTCCATCTTCTCTTTAGCTAGTTTTTTGGGTCGAAATTGTTCAACATTATGCTCTTCAATTTCGATCTATCGGTATCCCTTTTTTATTTCGAATTCCATTAGGAACCGTAGTTTCCACTTTCCCTGTTCAACTTGATGTCCCCTATTGATGACATTTTTCTTAGGCTCATAAGAAAGAAAATTAGTAGTGATATTGTTAGCTGAAAACTACATGTTTTTCAGGTAATCAAATATCTCGTTAGCTCGAGTCAATTTCTGTGGTAATTTCTAATATAAAGTTGTGATAAATCTGCTTGTCCATGAAAATCATTTGAAGGGCAGACATTATATTCAAATATGAAAGTACAGCTATAAAGCCATCGGATGACTCGACTTATGGAGTCATCCAAACTTATTCACCAATAGTGTATTGACACGTATCCTACAATAAATACAATTTGGACAGGTGTCAACACATTAAGTGGTGGATGGCTCCATAAGAAACCATCCGGATGGCTCCATGGAGTTTTTGTATGAAAGTAATCCTTATTATTATTTAGAAAGCTTCCCTTGTCCAGTAGAACAATTTCCGCTATCCAAATAAGTAGTTGGTAATACTCATGAAAAATATTACGAAAGACGTACATACTTTCTTTAATGCATATTTGGGAGAGTTGGCATGATTATACGTACATTAAGTATCTAAAGAAAACTCTCGCTCATCACCCATCCATATAAACACCCATATGTGCATGTCTAAATGATAAATGAAAGGTAACATTCAACAGAGAGAAACATTATGCCGAGTATCACTCATGGCACTTCTGTAAGAGCAATTACCTATATTTTAGGAAAATACGAACATTATTAGAGGAAACAAATGTTAATCCTCATAACCTATACTTCAGAATATCAGAGTTTTATGCATGAGGAAAATATATTTGTAGAATACATTTATTAGCCCATCCAACAAAGTATTATATCATCAATCCAAGCGTAAATTCTATGAACAATTTCTAATCACATAGTGCCAATTCTTGCAACAAAAATAATTTTCATCCACTTTTATTGTAGCATAATAACATTATCACATAGTGAATGTTTGATAAGACAAATTTAACTCTTCAGGCATATTATGCCAGGATCTTGAGGCAAAGGAACTTGTGATCTTTGTAAGCATTATTCTCATACTTTGAGATAAGATATTCTAGCAAATCGAGACTCATTAAATATGATAGACGAGAATAAAGTTTCTCCCTCAAATAAAATTGTTGGTTGTGGTAATAATTTCAAATAGGATCTCCAGAATTGGTGAATTGCAAAACGGATGCATAATGCACTCAATCGCCATCCAAGGTTCTCTACGCCCGTAACACTCAATGCTCTAGATGAAAATTTCTTTCTCATTTCACAAGTAGATAAATTATTAAGAGCATGCAAACAAGATTAGATTTTCTCAGCACTAATCTTTTTTCTATTTTTCTTTTGAAGATTTTATAAACCATCCTTTTTGGCATTAATCAAAGAATTATGATAAGCTATTGACAGAATGTAATTTCATCTTAAAGAGTGTAAAGAGTCCAACTCGTAAGAAATTCTTATTTTCGGTTCAAGAATGGAGTTAGGATACATACCTTGCAGGTCTCCAGGTTTTTGCGGCTCTCGGGCTAAGCTCAAGCTGCTCGTGCATGTTAAGTCAACAACAGGGCTGAAAATGTTAGATTCAAATGAAATACAAATGTCCAATTAATGGTAATCCAGGGTTTTCAATTCCCGCGTCTACAAAGGGTGGGGCGGTTAGTACAGTGACTAAGGTCTACGAGCGGGCTCCCGATTGTTTAACCATGACGCTATGGATGCAACGCTCATTAGACACTCTCTTTTTGACACAATTATATGTATGAAAGACCTGGACCAAGGGCATAAGTTGAATACGCATAATTGCCCGTAATAGTCGAGCCTACGAGAGCAAGAGTTTAGTTCGTAGTGCATGGGGAACATAACAAAGCAATGTTACAAAACTCAACTGAATCCCAAATATCCAACACCAAAACATAATGTTGCAAACCCTACTAAAATACAAATATCCAAGTCCACCACACCAAATATTACACCAAATATTACAGGCTCAAATATAATGTAAGACACCTACTAATAATATCCAAATCCAACACAACAGTGCATAATGGATCAGATCATACAAGACACTTTAATAGGCCACAGTAAAATGGTTGACCAAGAGAATTTCACTACATAGTAAATTCAAGTTACAATGAAATCAAATAATGCTTATAAATGAAACTAGTAGTTCCGAATGTAACAAAATTATTTTTTGTATTCACTCTGTATAAGTTTTCATCATCAAGAAGATAGAGCAATATCCTCGGGGATCACAAGAAAATGACGAAATAGCGTATTTTTTATCTCCATCGAAAGCATTTGAAAATTACCTTCCTTTGATTGTGGGTAGCCGCCATAAAAGTCAACCTCAAAAACTTGATCACATCATTATGCACCAACATGTTCTCCTTAAACGAGAACTCAACTAACGACAACGAGACATCATTGACATGTAGGTAAACCATAAATTCGATCTATCGTTTTTATGTGATTTATGTAAAGGGGCAATACGTATTCATAAGTGATTGGATTTTGAACATTATCAAAGCCCTGATAAACACTAATGGGTTGATCTTTCTGATCAATATATGTTTTATAGTATGTCGTGTGAGGACTGTGTGCCAAAATACCTTCCACATCATTTGCAAACATGTAGCTTAAATAGTTTTTATTTGAAATTTTGTCTACGAAGTCAGGCAGTAGCGGATTGTTGCGATACCGGCCATACAAATTAGTATGGATATAACAGATAACCGAGTATCAGTGAGTGATCCTTCAATTTTTATTAGTATGATATGAATAACCAATATCGGCAGTCATTCCTAATCTAGCAATTTATTTTTTAAAAAAAATCCATTTGTAAATAAACCAAATTAAAAAATATATGTGAAATAAATAAACCTCCAACAGATCTCATTTCAGTCATAGACAAATTGGAAAATTTTAAATAAATTTTGCAATTAATACGAGTGTGCCACTAGCAATATAACAAAACTTAAAAAGCATTTCCTAATATATGAAATTCAATATATTCACAAGTTGACAGAGAAGAAGAATAAGATTTATAATATGAAATTAATGGTGAGTAATAAATAACATATCTAAAGTGATTAATCAACGACCGTAAGCAGAATGCAAGAAGCTCATATAAACAGCTTCAGACATAAATATTTTTATAAAACCAAAAAAAAAAAGTTTTTTTTTTTGTTTTATATATATGACTGAAGCTGCTTAGAGCACCCACAATGCTTTGGGTCACTTAAAAAAAATCACATGTCATGTAAGAAATAGACAGTCTATAAAAAAGTGTATCACAATAGAATTAAAAGTAGACCTAGTCTAGCTTATGTGGTAATAAAAAAAAAGAGACCTAGTCCATTCTTGGGTCTATTTTGGACCCAAGCGTGAACCTGTACAATCATCAATCATTTACTATTATTATATTTTTATTGGTTGTTAGGTATTTTAAACTTAGGATTTTTTTATTTTTTTTTTTTGGCATTGGATATATTTTAGATTTTTTAGCTTGGGTTTGTCCATGTCATTATAAATTTAAGTCTATTTATTTGTCACATATGCAAAAATAAACCCAAAGCATTGTAGGTGCTCTTATATGAGCTTCTGACATTCTGCTCACGCTCGTTAATTAATCTCTTTAGATCTGTTATTCACCATTAATCACATATTATAAAATATTCTTCTTCTATCTGTCAACTTGTGAATATATTGAATTTTATATATTAATAAATACTTTTTAAATTTTGGTATATTGGTAGTGGGACACGCATTATTTGCAAAATTTATTTAAAATTTAATAATGTATGTTTCCACTTTGTCTATGATTGCAATGAGATCTATTGGAGATTTATTTATTTTACATATATTTTTTAATTTAGTTTATTTATAATTGGATTCTCTTAAAAAACAGATGGCTAGATTGAGAATGACTGCCGATATTGATTATTCATATCATACTAATAAAATTGAAGGATCACTCATTGATACTAGGTTATCTGCTACTATCGATACTACTTCGTATGGCTGATATCACAACAATCCGGTACTAATTGACTTTGCGAACAAAATTTCACATAAAAACTATTTAGGCTGCATGTTTGTAGATGATGTGGAAGGTATTTTGGTGCACAGTCCTCACACGGCAGACTATATAACATATATTAATCAGAAAGGTCAACCCCAACTCATTGGTATTTATCAGAGCTTTGATGATATGCAAAACCGAATAGCTTATGAATATGTGCTGCCCATTTACCGAAAACACATAAAAACGATGATCGAATTCATTGTTTACCTACATGCCAATGAGGTCTCATTCTCTTTAGTTGAGTTCTCGTTTAAGGAGAACTTGTTGGTGCATAATGATGTGATCAAGTTTTGGAGGTTGACTTTTATGGAGGCTACCCAACAGTTAAAGTAAGGTGATTTTCAAATGCTTTTGATGAAAATAAAAAATACGCTATTTTGTCATTTTCTATTTTGTCATTTTCTTGTGGTTCCCGAAGATATTGCTCATCTTCTGGTACTGATGATAAAACTTCTACAGAGTAAGTACAAAAAATAATTTTGTTATATTCGAAACTACTAGTTTCATTTATAAGCATTATATGATTTTATTGTAATTTGATTTTACTGTGTACTGAAATTCTCTTAGTAAACCATTTTACTGTTGCTTTTGGCCTATTAAAGTTTCTTGTATGGTCTCGAACCATTATGCACTGTTGCGGTGGATTTGGATATTATTAGTAGGTGTCTTACATTATATTTGAGCTTGTAATATTTGTGTGGTGAAATTAGAAATTTGTAATTCAGTAGGGTTTGCAACATTATGTTTTGGCGTTGGCTATTTGGATATTTGGGATTCAGTCGAGTTTTGTAACATTGCTTTGTTGTGTTGGATTAATTAGACATTTGTATTTCATTTGAATCTAACATTTTCAGTATATATGCTATATACTAATGATAGATATTAACCTGTGCCAATTTGCATCTGAATTAGTTAGATACTTTCTATCATCTACAGAGATTATCGAAAACTGACGAAACATATAAAGAGAGTTACTTTTTTCAAAGCGGCTTCAAAAAAGAGTTCTTATTTTAGCGATTAAAATTTGGCAAGTTATCAAGCGTCTCAAACCATGGTCGGCGGATATAAGTACGATCCGAATCAACATTATCAATACGATCTGAATCTAAATTGGTATGCATCTAAGTTTTCGGATGTCAGGCAATGTTTTACACTGATTACCAACTGTCAAGACAGCGAGACAAAAATGGGGCTAAAAAGTTACGCCTTAAATGATGAGGGATTGTTGAAATGTTGCTGCGATCTAGCAACACATGTGAGTTAGTTTTTTCTATAGGTGTGTATTATAATTTATAACCTCGTACCAACATACCGACAATCATTTGCTTGTGACGGATTAACTCAGTCCTATATATTTGTATATGTTGCAGAATCAGAAGGTTGAGGCACTTGATGTTGATGTAGTGATTTCGTTGTTCTTTATTTGGGACATGATGGTTTTCCAGCAAATTTAATTGATGAAGGTATATATCAACATTTTGTTCAGTTATTAATTAGTGGGTCAAGTTGATGCAACTTAAATACCCGCCGCAATTCGCATTAGTTATGGACAACTAGTTGCTTTATATTCTTATCTGAAAAACAATTATTATGGTAAATTTCGTTGTATCTCAAAACCAATCGTGAAATTTCAATGTCGTCTTTACGTAGCTTTATTGTATGTCTATCTAGTATGTGAGAGTATCAATTCCTCTACTTGAGTATCGTACAATACATTCTCGTAATGTGACCAATTGAGCACCCATAGTGAGTTGAGTGGTACATAACTCACGTACCATTAGGTAAATTAATTAACCATATAACTAGGATTCTAGCTACTTCAAATAAAAGCAAAGTACACAGAGTATTATGATTTTTTTACCGTGAAGTCCTAATAGAGGAAAAAAGAGCAATTAATATAAAAACATATCAATAGACATTAGTATGCAGGAAAAAAAAAATACTATAAGAGTATATCGAACAAATAAGTACCACGCTAAAAATTGTTCAGATGAAAATGAAAATTAATTCTGAAGTGCAATATGTAAGCGAAGAAAACTTACAGCAGAAAGAGCAGAACGAGGGGAAAGAGGAGAAGGATGCAAAAGACCAGGTCTCCCAACCTAGTCCTTATCATCTAAGTCCATGCTCATGCTTTCTTATTTACAAAATTGTTATCCAGGTTGGTCTCTCTGGTAAAAAAGTTAAAACTGACAAGGGAAGAAGAAAACATAAAAAAGAATTTACACAACCAATTGTTTTTCTTTTTCCATCACAATGCATACAACGATGTGAGCTCTATATCTCAATCTCACTTGTTCAGCTACTATTATTGTAACACCCCGCTTATCAGAGTAAATTTTCATAAAAACTTTTAACAATACTTACCTGGTAGTCGGCGAGGTGTGAGTGTGGTGTGGTCGGTTTTCCTGAAACATTTCTTTCTCAAAACATAAACTTTTTAGTATACAGGTAGCTTCAACTTGATTGATGGCATAGACTTGGGCTTGTTGTCCTCCTCCCTGCTGCTGCCTTTCTAGACAAAACCTCATGCCATGATTATTTTAAATGATATGCCAATTTTTGCTTTATTCGATACTGGAGCAACGCATTCATTTGTGTCTAAGAGATGTATAGACGCAATTGGAGTTAGAATTATTAACACTATTGACCCTCTTGAGGTAAGTTTAGCCTCAGGAAGGAAAATAGAGACAAGCTCTAAGGTAGAGAACCTTAGTGTTAATATCGGAGGAAAAATCTTGGCATTAGAGGCTTATGTTATCGAAATGAAGGATTTCGATCTCATACTTGGAATGGATTGGTTAACGAATTATCGTGCTGATATTCGTTGCCATGAAAGAGAGGTAATTCTTCATCTTGCAAAAGATGATCAAATTACTTTCTACGGAGCAAAGATGAGAACTCTACCAAGTGTGATATCGATGGCAAAGGCGAGGAAGATTCTGCGAAGGGAGGACTGTCAAGGATATTTGGTGAGCATTGTCGAAGATGATTCGAAAGCACAAACACCTCACGATATTCCTATTGTTCGTGAGTTTGTGGATGTGTTTCCAAATCAATTACCCGGAGGACCACCCAACAGACAAGTGGAGTTCACAATTGATCTGGTTCCAGGAGCAGCACCAGTGTCGAAGGCACCATATCGGATGGCGCCGAAGGAATTGCAAGAGTTGAAGACTCAAATCCAGGAGTTGTTGAAACTTGGTTTCATCAGACCGAGTGTTTCACCTTGGGGAGCACCTGTTCTGTTCGTCAAGAAGAAGGATGGATCCATGAGGATGTGTATCGACTATCGGGATTTGAACCGATTAACAATCAAGAACAAATATCCACTTCCAAGGATAGATGATTTATTCGATCAATTGAGAGGAGCTTGCGTATTTTCAAAGATAGATTTGCGCTCAGGCTATCATCAACTGAAAATTAAAGAATCTGACGTAGCCAAGACGGCGTTTCGAACAAGATATGGTCATTACGAATTTGTGGTTATGCCATTTGGAGTAAGTAATGCACCAGCGGTGTTCATGGATTTGATGAATCGAGTATTCCATCAGTATTTAGATCAATTTGTTATTGTCTTTATTGACGATATTTTGATCTATTCCAAGAGTATGGAAGAGCATGAGCAACATCTAAGGGTAGTTCTCAGTACCCTTAGACGAGAGAAGCTGTATGCCAAATTCTCTAAGTGTGAATTTTGGCTGAAGAAAGTGGCGTTTTTAGGCCATATTATCACGATAAGAGGCATTGAAGTTGATCCAAACAAGATTGTTGCTGTTCAGAATTGGTCCGTGCCGAAGAATCCGTCTGAAGTTCGGAGTTTCCTTGGATTAGCAGGTTATTATCGTAGGTTTATCGAAGGGTTTTCAAAGATTGCTCTCCCTTTGACAAATCTAACGAGAAAATCTGTGAAGTTTGAATGGACAAATCGTTGTGAAGAAAGTTTTCAAGAGCTTAAGAAGAAGCTTACAACGACTCCAGTACTGATTATTCCTGATCCTACTAGAAGTTTCACAATCTATAGTGATGCTTCAAAGCAGGGTCTTGGATGTGTACTTATGCAAGAAGGTCAAGTTGTGGCATATGCTTCGCGGCAGTTGAAGCCAAATGAGCAGAATTACCCAACTCATGATCTAGAGTTGGCAGCAGTAGTGCATGCATTGAAGATTTGGAGGCATTATCTCTATGGTGGACGGTGTGAAATATTCACTGATCACAAGAGTTTGCAATATATTTTCACACAGAAAGAGCTCAATATGCGCCAAAGGAGATGGCTAGAGCTAGTGAAAGATTATGATTGCACTATTCAATATCATCCGGGAAAAGCGAACGTAGTAGCTGATGCCCTAAGCCGAAAGGTGAAGGGAGAGTTATCCTGTTGTATATCACAACAGAAGCAACTCATTAAAGAGTTCGCCCGGATGCAGATTGAAGTAGTTGAGTCACTTCCTAAGGAGATTACAGGAAGTATTAACTCGATGAAGATTCAACCTATGTTGAGGGATAGAATCCGGAAGGAGCAAACTTTCGATCAATTTATTCGGAAGATCGAAGAGAAGGTTCATGCTGAAGGAGTAGAAGGCTTTTACCGAAGCACCGATGGGGCTTTAGAGTTCAAAGGCAGAATTGTTGTGCCGAAAGTCGAGTCCTTGCGGAAGGAAATCTTGACAGAAGCACACAGTGCGCCTTATTTAGCTCACCCTGGAAGCACCAAAATGTATCACGACTTGAAAAAGTCGTTTTGGTGGAAAGGAATGAAGAGAGATGTAGCAGACTTTGTAAAGAAGTGTTTGGTGTGTCAGCAAGTGAAGGCTGAACACAAAAGTCCATTGGGACTGTTGCAGCCACTTGAGATTCCAAAGTGGAAATGGGAAGAAGTTACCATGGATTTTGTTACAGGGTTACCTAAGTCGTCTGAGCATCATGATGCGATTTGGGTAGTAGTGGACAGATTGACGAAAGTCGCCCACTTTATGCCTGTGACAATGACGATGTCGATGGACAAGTTAGCTGAGATCTATACGCGTGGAATCATTCGACTCCATGGAGTGCCAGTTACGATCATATCTGATCGAGATCCCAGATTCACTAGCAGATTTTGGGAGAGTTTGCACGAGGCAATGGGCACACAATTGAAGTTTAGTTCGGCTTATCATCCTGAGACAGATGGCCAATCCGAAAGGACTATCCAGACGCTAGAGGATATGCTAAGAGCTTGCATATTGGATAGAGGTGATAAATGGGAGAAGTGGTTACCATTAGTAGAGTTTGCTTACAATAATAGTTACCACGCATCGATTCAGATGGCTCCATATGAAGCACTTTATGGACGAAAGTGCCGTTCACCCCTTTATTGGGACGATGTTGGAGAAAGTCGAGTTCTTGGACCAAAGATGATTGAAGAGACGGTTGAGCAAGTAGCCTGGATTCGAGAAAGGCTAAAGACTGCTCAGAGTCGGCAAAAGTCTTCTGCCGATAAGCATAGAAGAGAGATGCAATTTGAAGTTGGAGATAAAGTTTTCTTGAAGGTTCGACCGATGCGAGGGGTCGTTCGTTTTGGGAAGAGAGGCAAGTTACATCCTCGATATATAGGTCCATTTGAAATTTTGGAACGAGTTGGAGAAGTATCTTATCGCTTAGCATTACCTCCGGAGTTATCAAGTGTGCATAATGTTTTTCACGTATCGATGTTACGTGCTTACGTGTGTGATCCCGAGCATGTGCTGAAGCACAATGAGATTCAGATTCAGCCTGATTTAACTTATGAGGAGCAGCCAGTAGCAGTTTTGGACCGAAAGGTTCATCGGCTCAGGAATCGAGATATTCCCCTCGTTCGTATTAAATGGAATCGCCACGGAGAGTCAAATGCCACTTGGGAGAGGGAAGCTGATATTAGAGCTCGTTTTCCTGAGTTTGCGTTTTGAGGTATGTTTGTTTTTATATTTCCGAGGACGGAAATAGTTTTAAGGGGGGTAGATTGTAATATCCCTTTCAGTTATATCAGTTATTATGAGTTATTGT